CAAAATACTGCAGCAGTTTCCTCCCGTCCAAGGGACTTTCGCTTTTAAAACTGCCGGGTCCTTGTGCACCACCTGTTTCAACACTTTGCGGCGGACACCCCAACGCGCACGCCACTTCTGCGCCCACTTGTTCACGTAGCGTCGCGGAGGGACACCCACGTCGAGCCGATGGCCGATAAAGGCATGCTCCCAGTGCAAGAAGACGTCCATCGAGGAAGGGGCCACACCATGCAAGACATTGCAATCACGCACCCAATCCGAAGTTGCGGCCTCTGCCAAAAAGGCGTGTGCCCTCTGCGCTGCTAGCTCGCCGAATTCCAGCCAGTCTGTTGGCGGGGATTCCAAAAAAAGCTCTTCTAGGGCTGCAGCTGTTGGGAACCCAGCATCCTCAGGGCGCTTGTACGTGGATAACCTGCAAGCCACGCGGACAGCGAGAGCTATGTTGTAGTTGGACAGCACATACACAGCTAGGGTCGTTCGGCGAGCTGCAGGCCCCAGGCCACAACATTGCACTCTCTTTTGCTGCCGTCTGGCCTGCTGGTAAGCGCCTTTCAACTCGTTCCGGTTAGCCACTAAAGCTTGCTGTAATCGGACTACTTCAGCTGCAGCTGCATCCGGCATCATGGCATGCACAGGGACGCCGGCAAGCCGTGTGTCACACAGGCAGACAATATGGAGACTCCTGCCTACGGGCCATGTGTTTTGCCCAAAGAAGCTGTATGACAAGGAAACACTGTTGAAAGTTCATGCTTCAGAGAATGAGCAACAGTGTTGACGGAAACATGGAAACATGCCGGTCACCCATGCTGACGCAGAAGTCAAACTGAGCCCGTCCCAGCTCTGCAAGTAGCAGCAAGCGACGTGGCCATGCTGCAAAGTGACACCCAAGGAATCCAAGTCTGCAAGTGCGCTGCGTTGACAGCAGCCGGCATGTCACAACAAGGGCCCTCACTGACGACAGCTAGTTTGCAACCGTCTGGCGACCCCTTTTTTTGGAACCGGCCGTGGCCTCAGTCTTGTCTGTATAAGGGCTGGCTACACTGAATGAGAATCGCATTCCCTTCTAGCCATTCCCGATCTTCTGCAGCGAGCTGCTCCAGTGTGGTCCAGACATTGGATGTGACAATGAGAGCGACATTCCAAACCCAGATGCGATAAACATACATGCCTGTCGCCGAGTGCCCAAGTGAAATTTCGGCAGGCGGCGCCTGAAACAATTTTTTGTGCTTCAAGACAAGATGGACACTAGCTTCATCAAACACCACACACCGGTGCCGTAGCACATCATATTCCCTCATGTCGGGCTCCAACACCCCGGAACAATTGGTTTCATACGTGTGATCTGCGCCAAAGAGAGACCGTGCATAGACAGTCTTCCCCAGGCGCGTTGGGCCATTCAGCACCAAGAATTTTCGGCGATGCATAGGCCGCGTGAACTGTGGCAAGAACAGCTGCGTCACTTCTGGTAGTTCCACTGGCTCTTTCTGCAGTGGGCGCAAGAGCTCTGCTGCAGCAGCCTGCTGCTGCTGAATGTACAGCTCCCGTTGTTTCTGGCCATGGTACTTCAGGTTCTCACAGTAAGCACGAATGTTGCGCTTGCATTGGACGTAGTGCTGCTCGGCACACTCCTTGTTAATCTTATCCCCCTGCCAAAGTCCAGTCACCCAGTCGGGGCTCACTGTGAAAGTCTGGTATGCTGGGCAAGTGGTCTGGCGAAAAATGGACCCTTTCTTCTCCACTTGGAGATAAAAGTGCCCTTGATCCAGTGCACGACGGACTGACCGCCCACGAGCCTGCGAGGAATCCAAGGAGATGTGCGGCTTGCACCCACGAAATGCCAAACTTTGTCCAGACAGATGCACTTGTCGCCCTGGCCGCAGCATGCGGGTGCATGGGCCAGGAAGGTACGGTGCTAGAGCCTATCTGGTTCTGTTAGCCATCAGAACCAAACATGAAACAGGACCGAAAAGTATGGGGAAGGTGCGTCCTCACATTGGGCTGCGAAAAAGAATGACTGGCACTGGGAATGAAAGATAAAATGACATGATTCAGGCTTGCGAGAGAGGTGCCCGCATTGCTGCCGAGTCGCGGGTGTCAAACATCATGTGCAAGTGAATGGAAGGCACTCTGCGTTGCAGCGTCACCTCTGTGTGGAGCTCCAGGGCGGTGCTGACCCGTTCAAAGCGGTACTTGTTGCCGAGCTCGGTCATCCAACTTTGAAAGTCATCCCAAATGGCAAGCACCTGCGGTGCGTTTCGTAGGCCGGCACTGAGCAGATCAATGTCGACAGATGGTCCTGCCGCAAGCAGGTCCAAGGAAGGTTGATGCTCAATCATGCTAAAGGAGCCACTGTATCGGAACATAGTACCAGTGCCCTTGTATGCTTGCGGCGATGGCTCGTTGACAATCGGCTCTTCGACATGCCACCCTGCCAGTAGGTCACGTGCAGCACGTGCAAACTTCACAGGAATTTGCGGCAACATGTCGCGCAAAATCTGCGGCCTGTCGGCTTGTGCAAATGAAGCTCTCCACCGCTGCCGCTTGGCGTGTCCGTGCTCATTCCGAGCGGCCATTCGCTGCGCAGCCCATTTGTCGCGCAGCCATATCAGCAGCTGCTTGCGTGCCTCCCGGTCAGGGGGGCCGTCTGGCGGCGGCTGCTTACCACAGAGTCGCCGTCGGACAGGCATGGCGGCACTGTGGCTCAATGATCATGTTCTTGTTTTGCTGCGTGACATGAAGGGGCCCTCATGGGAAGTTAATACCCTGGCAGCTAAGCAGTCGATGACAAAGCGACCGTACAATGAACAGCATGCAATGCCTCACCATGCTCTGTCTGGATGTGGGCACGGCGGCGGCACCCAAACAGCAGACCAAGCCTGCTCGCAGGCATGAGGACAAGCAAGCTTCACATAGAGGAGCAGGAGATAGACGCGTCAGTTCTGGACATTGATGAGTTCAAATTGGTTATAAATGGGAGTCTATAAGGTCGAAATGGGGTTATGACTACTTATAACTGGTCAATGGCCATAACTGGTCTAATAGCAGAGCGGGCCAAAGAAAAGACTACAAGGCAAACAAGTGTGGGCAGCGGCTCAGCAGCTTTGTTTTCGTCAAGTACGCACGGACTTTCCGCGCCACTCGAGACTGTTGTCCCAGCGCTTGCATGGCTGAAAAACCTTGGCAGGAGCATGGAGAGGACCAAGCGACGGGTATGGACTGCGACAAAACCCAGACGACAGCACGGACAGGATCGGTCGGAGGACCGCGGAGGACCAAGCAACGGGAAAAACTATGGAAAAACGGGGGCAAAAATGGCGGTCCTCCAAATCCGCCTCTGGGAGAATAGAATTATTTGTAGCTACAAGCGAGGTTGGAGGACCATGTTGAAGCATGTTGTTCTGTGTCGCCACCATTCTAAAGGTGTCCCTTCCCACAGGCATGGTGCTTTTCTTCCTCCTCTGGGTCTACAGACCTATACATACATATCTATATCTACGTAGATATATCTCTTCATCGACATATATATATATACATACCTTTCTCTCCATGTCTTTCTCTATCTCTCTATCGCTCTTTTATTCTCGATCTATATATATCTCCATATACATGTCTATCGCTATCTAGAATCGGTACTAGAATGAAATACTCTAACGACTGGAAAGCGGGATCTTGAGCACTTTCATGCTGACAGCTTTGAACCAGGTAAAACCAAAAGACTGATCTTTATGTGCACATCTCCTGTTTTTTTTCAAAATGCAGCATGGCATTGAATGCTTGAAAGTCCCAACGCGAAGCATTGGCTTTTCGAACCGGATCACGAACAGTCCCGATCACCGATTTGCATCTCGAACATTCTTTTCCTTTCGAACCGGATCACGAACAGTCCCGATCACCGACTTGCATCTCGAACATTCTTTTCCTTTCGACCCGGATCACGAACATTCCCGATCACCGACTTTCATCTCGACCATTGTATTGAAAAGTGAAACGAACGCATTGGGATGAGGAAGCGACCAGTTTCATATCAGCCACCTCCTAAAAAACTAGTCTTGTACGCATTTTATTTCGAGGTCTCTATTCTCCAAAGCACATGTCTATCTAGATCGATATAAGGCTTTCTGGGGTATGTTCCGACTTGTCTTTTGTAAAGAATCCACCTTGAAGTCGTTTCAAGGTTCTTCAAACCTAAAGTTTTGCGTTTGGCAAAGCTCAGCTGTGTCTCATAGATTTTCTGTCCGCGTCTCCTAGATTTTATTCCAGTCATTATCCCCATTGGTGGTTTTGGATGGATAGGGCAATTCAGGCATCAACATTCCTTGAATTGGGCAATCCATCCTTTAGGGGGTCATTACACTCCCAAAAATTAGCATAACCCCAAAAATAGTGTCGCGGATGAGATAGGGAGGTTCCCGGTTCAACCAACCCTTATATAATATCCAGCAACCAAGCTATCTAATCCGCTGGGGGGGTTCCTACACCGATTTAATCAAATGGGGGTGTGCTTCGAAGTTGCTACGCACGGAGCGGTTCGCTCCCCCCAATTGACCAAATCAGTTCCTAATTATATAATATTCTCTTATATTAATATATGTATATACAAATATATGTACGTACGTATCTATCATCCCATATCATCTTTGACATTTGCTGTCATGAAACATTGCAATCCCAATAGTTCACTCACCTGCATGGTTTGGCCATTTGGGGATGATTGAGGTCGTTATCATTTACCCTTTTCCGACAATCTACTAATTCATGCAAGCACCCTCATTTTGCGGATGCTAGGCCTGGGAACTGGGTGTCATGCTGGTTGGTTACCCATCAAAAGTGGTGGTCGAACCGGGGAAGATTGATAGACCTCAACAGCGTTTTACCGTCTGGTAAATTAACATAGACCGTGGGAGATAGGGATGGAAGACTAGTTGCCATTAAACCTTGGTGATTTTAAGGGTCTATGTTAATTTACCAGTGGGTAAATCACTTTAACCATATAGGGATTCGCCAGTCATTTTTTATGGTGGTGCACCGCGGTTGACCATTGGGGATTTATCAAACGATGGGCTTATATCATTGATTGAGCCTTATGGGTAACTGGCGAGAAATCACCATCAAACATGGGAATTTAACATGAACCAAGAAACCAAGGGTACAATTGCTAGATGTAGAGTCACTTCCCCCCTGGACAGGCAGCTGCACCATGTGCCCAGATGCAATGTGGCACAGCACCAGCCGCCAGCACCAGGCGCAAAGGCCCCAGAACGGCAGCAGCATCGCCAGGTCGTGCACGCACCAGGCGCAACGGCCGCAGCGCACCAGCATCCATCGCTGCCGCCGCAGCAAGAGAATGTTAAATCACTGACAGGATACGGCGTGTGCTATGTGTCACACAGTGGTGCGTCAATCAAGCAGGCCTCTGAATCCAATGAATGAATCTGAATAATCACTCCTACAGCCACTATGCAAAGCAATCGTCTGACTCCACTGACTGAATCGCTCTCACTTCCCACAGCCAACATGCAACATGAGTGGCCAGCTGCGATTGTTTTCAGACACCTTTGGCGTCAGGTTGTTAATCACACATAGGTGCACACTTCGTGTGCAAACTTGCAACTTCCTCACGCGTGTGCGTGCCATTGTAACACATGCAGGACGACATTGGCGCCCTTCACGGGCAAATACCAACACAGAGTCTCCTGCATAGCTCTGCACTTGTCAGAGACATGCCCATGCAGACAAACTGCAAACATCAGGGACGACCATTGGCAACCTTGACCGCCAACAGCCACGACAAATCTGCCGTGCTCAGTTTCCCAGCTTGCTGCATGATGCGACGGCGTTTTTTCTCCTGCGCCCGGCACAGACAATTTGCTGCAAACAAGCTAGCATTGATCAAGACAGGACATTATACCATGTCTGATGGCCACCAGTCTATGTCCTGGCTCTTCACCTCTCGGGTTGCTTGCGCCAACTGCCGCTTCAGTGCCTGTCGCGCTGCTTTCAAATCTGCCAAACGGTCTGCCGGCGGCGCAACGGCCGCAACATCAGCAGGTGCTGCTTCTGACGACATGGCTTCGCAGCAAGTGCGTCAAGGTGAGGGTCACCCAGGGCAAGTTCCTTCTGGCCAAAAGCTTGCAGAGTCTTCTGACAGTTGCTTCAGGGTTGCACGCTGCAAGCACATGCTTGCAAAGAGATGACACTAACACTAGCCTACACGGGGAACCCAAAAATGGGGGCTGGGATTATGCATAGAACTCGGCTTCCACAAGCTGGACCCTAATAGTCTCACAACATTTTCACTTGTACGCAGGCAAGTCAAAACAAGGCTTTGTAAGCATACACCATACGGCGTCGCTCTGGCCACAAACATTGCACTTCCTCTCGGGTTGGTTTGACCCCTTCGGGGAAACTCACCGGAAAATCCATTAACTCCCGCAGCTCCCGATGGAGTACTTGCGGATCAGGCGGATTGGTGCATCCGACCGCTGCGAAGCTACTGCGCCATGCCTTCTGCGCGAAAAATTCACGCGGGCATTGCATCAGCTCCCAAATCCATGCCAGGGGATTCACCAAACCATGCTGGGAAGTTGCTTTCAGACCTTCGTGCCTTGCCCGCAAAAAGGCTTTGAAGCCAGCAAATGCACAAATGTCCAGCGGCTGCAGCACATCAGTGCATTGCGCCGGTATGTAAACCAGCTGCACCTTCTGCCTCTTTGCCGCTTGCATGACCTCCTTTGGCAAGTGGCTAGGCGCACAGTCCAGCAACAAGATACCTTGTTTGCCTGGATACAGCTTCAGCACCTCACCAATGTCTCGCAAGAGTTGCACCATGTTCGCAGCAGAAGTCCATGCAGACTTTTGCGCAATGATCTTCAATCGGGTTGGTGGCAAGGCTTTCTGTGCCCGCAGCAACTTGCGCGTCAGCCTCGTCTTGGAACCTATCAGGTAATGTGGTAACTTCCCTTGGACATCTGTAGCATTGCAAATGAGGCTGAGGTATGTCCAAGCTCCTCTCCGATCCTGCTTCGACACTTTCGCGACCGCAGGAGCCACCACATTGCCAAGCCGCGGCTTCATGGTATACCCTACGCTCGTCTCATCAACATTCAACATGAGAATGTCTCGGTCGGCAAACTTCTGGTATAGATAGCGCAGATGCCGCCAAAAAGCATTGACCTTGCAGGACAAAGCATGCGGTGTGGAAACAACACCGACGCATCCAAAAGGGTGCAGCAATAGAGGGCGAGAAAACAAACCCGAAAACTGGGACCAGAAATGGGGCCCTTAAGGCTAATCCTGTGCATGCAAACAATATACGGCAACGTACTCGGACCCTTTTTTGGGTCCGGAATCTGGACCCAAAAAGGGGGCCAAAATACTGCAGCAGTTTCCTCCCGTCCAAGGGACTTTCGCTTTTAAAACTGCCGGGTCCTTGTGCACCACCTGTTTCAACACTTTGCGGCGGACACCCCAACGCGCACGCCACTTCTGCGCCCACTTGTTCACGTAGCGTCGCGGAGGGACACCCACGTCGAGCTGATGGCCGATAAAGGCATGCTCCCAGTGCAAGAAGACGTCCATCGAGGAAGGGGCCACACCATGCAAGACATTGCAATCACGCACCCAATCCGAAGTTGCGGCCTCTGCCAAAAAGGCGTGTGCCCTCTGCGCTGCTAGCTCGCCGAATTCCAGCCAGTCTGTTGGCGGGGATTCCAAAAAAAGCTCTTCTAGGGCTGCAGCTGTTGGGAACCCAGCATCCTCAGGGCGCTTGTACGTGGATAACCTGCAAGCCACGCGGACAGCGAGAGCTATGTTGTAGTTGGACAGCACATACACAGCTAGGGTCGTTCGGCGAGCTGCAGGCCCCAGGCCACAACATTGCACTCTCTTTTGCTGCCGTCTGGCCTGCTGGTAAGCGCCTTTCAACTCGTTCCGGTTAGCCACTAAAGCTTGCTGTAATCGGACTACTTCAGCTGCAGCTGCATCCGGCATCATGGCATGCACAGGGACGCCGGCAAGCCGTGTGTCACACAGGCAGACAATATGGAGACTCCTGCCTACGGGCCATGTGTTTTGCCCAAAGAAGCTGTATGACAAGGAAACACTGTTGAAAGTTCATGCTTCAGAGAATGAGCAACAGTGTTGACGGAAACATGGAAACATGCCGGTCACCCATGCTGACGCAGAAGTCAAACTGAGCCCGTCCCAGCTCTGCAAGTAGCAGCAAGCGACGTGGCCATGCTGCAAAGTGACACCCAAGGAATCCAAGTCTGCAAGTGCGCTGCGTTGACAGCAGCCGGCATGTCACAGTCTCACAACATTTTCACTTGTACGCAGGCAAGTCAAAACAAGGCTTTGTAAGCATACACCATACGGCGTCGCTCTGGCCACAAACATTGCACTTCCTCTCGGGTTGGTTTGACCCCTTCGGGGAAACTCACCGGAAAATCCATTAACTCCCGCAGCTCCCGATGGAGTACTTGCGGATCAGGCGGATTGGTGCATCCGACCGCTGCGAAGCTACTGCGCCATGCCTTCTGCGCGAAAAATTCACGCGGGCATTGCATCAGCTCCCAAATCCATGCCAGGGGATTCACCAAACCATGCTGGGAAGTTGCTTTCAGACCTTCGTGCCTTGCCCGCAAAAAGGCTTTGAAGCCAGCAAATGCACAAATGTCCAGCGGCTGCAGCACATCAGTGCATTGCGCCGGTATGTAAACCAGCTGCACCTTCTGCCTCTTTGCCGCTTGCATGACCTCCTTTGGCAAGTGGCTAGGCGCACAGTCCAGCAACAAGATACCTTGTTTGCCTGGATACAGCTTCAGCACCTCACCAATGTCTCGCAAGAGTTGCACCATGTTCGCAGCAGAAGTCCATGCAGACTTTTGCGCAATGATCTTCAATCGGGTTGGTGGCAAGGCTTTCTGTGCCCGCAGCAACTTGCGCGTCAGCCTCGTCTTGGAACCTATCAGGTAATGTGGTAACTTCCCTTGGACATCTGTAGAATTGCAAATGAGGCTGAGGTATGTCCAAGCTCCTCTCCGATCCTGCTTCGACACTTTCGCGACCGCAGGAGCCACCACATTGCCAAGCCGCGGCTTCATGGTATACCCTACGCTCGTCTCATCAACATTCAACATGAGAATGTCTCGGTCGGCAAACTTCTGGTATAGATAGCGCAGATGCCGCCAAAAAGCATTGACCTTGCAGGACAAAGCATGCGGTGTGGAAACAACACCGACGCATCCAAAAGGGTGCAGCAATAGAGGGCGACAAAACAAACCCGAAAACTGGGACCAGAAATGGGGCCCTTAAGGCTAATCCTGTGCATGCAAACAATATACGGCAACGTACTCGGACCCTTTTTTGGGTCCGGAATCTGGACCCAAAAAGGGGGCCAAAATACTGCAGCAGTTTCCTCCCGTCCAAGGGACTTTCGCTTTTAAAACTGCCGGGTCCTTGTGCACCACCTGTTTCAACACTTTGCGGCGGACACCCCAACGCGCACGCCACTTCTGCGCCCACTTGTTCACGTAGCGTCGCGGAGGGACACCCACGTCGAGCTGATGGCCGATAAAGGCATGCTCCCAGTGCAAGAAGACGTCCATCGAGGAAGGGGCCACACCATGCAAGACATTGCAATCACGCACCCAATCCGAAGTTGCGGCCTCTGCCAAAAAGGCGTGTGCCCTCTGCGCTGCTAGCTCGCCGAATTCCAGCCAGTCTGTTGGCGGGGATTCCAAAAAAAGCTCTTCTAGGGCTGCAGCTGTTGGGAACCCAGCATCCTCAGGGCGCTTGTACGTGGATAACCTGCAAGCCACGCGGACAGCGAGAGCTATGTTGTAGTTGGACAGCACATACACAGCTAGGGTCGTTCGGCGAGCTGCAGGCCCCAGGCCACAACATTGCACTCTCTTTTGCTGCCGTCTGGCCTGCTGGTAAGCGCCTTTCAACTCGTTCCGGTTAGCCACTAAAGCTTGCTGTAATCGGACTACTTCAGCTGCAGAGGCATCCGGCATCATGGCATGCACAGGGACGCCGGCAAGCCGTGTGTCACACAGGCAGACAATATGGAGACTCCTGCCTACGGGCCATGTGTTTTGCCCAAAGAAGCTGTATGACAAGGAAACACTGTTGAAAGTTCATGCTTCAGAGAATGAGCAACAGTGTTGACGGAAACATGGAAACATGCCGGTCACCCATGCTGACGCAGAAGTCAAACTGAGCCCGTCCCAGCTCTGCAAGTAGCAGCAAGCGACGTGGCCATGCTGCAAAGTGACACCCAAGGAATCCAAGTCTGCAAGTGCGCTGCGTTGACAGCAGCCGGCATGTCACAGTCTCACAACATTTTCACTTGTACGCAGGCAAGTCAAAACAAGGCTTTGTAAGCATACACCATACGGCGTCGCTCTGGCCACAAACATTGCACTTCCTCTCGGGTTGGTTTGACCCCTTCGGGGAAACTCACCGGAAAATCCATTAACTCCCGCAGCTCCCGATGGAGTACTTGCGGATCAGGCGGATTGGTGCGTCCGACCGCTGCGAAGCTACTGCGCCATGCCTTCTGCGCGAAAAATTCACGCGGGCATTGCATCAGCTCCCAAATCCATGCCAGGGGATTCACCAAACCATGCTGGGAAGTTGCTTTCAGACCTTCGTGCCTTGCCCGCAAAAAGGCTTTGAAGCCAGCAAATGCACAAATGTCCAGCGGCTGCAGCACATCAGTGCATTGCGCCGGTATGTAAACCAGCTGCACCTTCTGCCTCTTTGCCGCTTGCATGACCTCCTTTGGCAAGTGGCTAGGCGCACAGTCCAGCAACAAGATACCTTGTTTGCCTGGATACAGCTTCAGCACCTCACCAATGTCTCGCAAGAGTTGCACCATGTTCGCAGCAGAAGTCCATGCAGACTTTTGCGCAATGATCTTCAATCGGGTTGGTGGCAAGGCTTTCTGTGCCCGCAGCAACTTGCGCGTCAGCCTCGTCTTGGAACCTATCAGGTAATGTGATAACTTCCCTTGGACATCTGTAGCATTGCAAATGAGGCTGAGGTATGTCCAAGCTCCTCTCCGATCCTGCTTCGACACTTTCGCGACCGCAGGAGCCACCACATTGCCAAGCCGCGGCTTCATGGTATACCCTACGCTCGTCTCATCAACATTCAACATGAGAATGTCTCGGTCGGCAAACTTCTGGTATAGATAGCGCAGATGCCGCCAAAAAGCATTGACCTTGCAGGACAAAGCATGCGGTGTGGAAACAACACCGACGCATCCAAAAGGGTGCAGCAATAGAGGGCGAGAAAACAAACCCGAAAACTGGGACCAGAAATGGGGCCCTTAAGGCTAATCCTGTGCATGCAAACAATATACGGCAACGTACTCGGACCCTTTTTTGGGTCCGGAATCTGGACCCAAAAAGGGGGCCAAAATACTGCAGCAGTTTCCTCCCGTCCAAGGGACTTTCGCTTTTAAAACTGCCGGGTCCTTGTGCACCACCTGTTTCAACACTTTGCGGCGGACACCCCAACGCGCACGCCACTTCTGCGCCCACTTGTTCACGTAGCGTCGCGGAGGGACACCCACGTCGAGCTGATGGCCGATAAAGGCATGCTCCCAGTGCAAGAAGACGTCCATCGAGGAAGGGGCCACACCATGCAAGACATTGCAATCACGCACCCAATCCGAAGTTGCGGCCTCTGCCAAAAAGGCGTGTGCCCTCTGCGCTGCTAGCTCGCCGAATTCCAGCCAGTCTGTTGGCGGGGATTCCAAAAAAAGCTCTTCTAGGGCTGCAGCTGTTGGGAACCCAGCATCCTCAGGGCGCTTGTACGTGGATAACCTGCAAGCCACGCGGACAGCGAGAGCTATGTTGTAGTTGGACAGCACATACACAGCTAGGGTCGTTCGGCGAGCTGCAGGCCCCAGGCCACAACATTGCACTCTCTTTTGCTGCCGTCTGGCCTGCTGGTAAGCGCCTTTCAACTCGTTCCGGTTAGCCACTAAAGCTTGCTGTAATCGGACTACTTCAGCTGCAGCTGCATCTGGCATCATGGCATGCACAGGGACGCCGGCAAGCCGTGTGTCACACAGGCAGACAATATGGAGACTCCTGCCTACGGGCCATGTGTTTTGCCCAAAGAAGCTGTATGACAAGGAAACACTGTTGAAAGTTCATGCTTCAGAGAATGAGCAACAGTGTTGACGGAAACATGGAAACATGCCGGTCACCCATGCTGACGCAGAAGTCAAACTGAGCCCGTCCCAGCTCTGCAAGTAGCAGCAAGCGACGTGGCCATGCTGCAAAGTGACACCCAAGGAATCCAAGTCTGCAAGTGCGCTGCGTTGACAGCAGCCGGCATGTCACAACAAGGGCCCTCACTGACGACAGCTAGTTTGCAACCGTCTGGCGACCCCTTTTTTTGGAACCGGCCGTGGCCTCAGTCTTGTCTGTATAAGGGCTGGCTACACTGAATGAGAATCGCATTCCCTTCTAGCCATTCCCGATCTTCTGCAGCGAGCTGCTCCAGTTCGGTGGTCCAGACATTGGATGTGACAATGAGAGCGACATTCCAAACCCAGATGCGATAAACATACATGCCTGTCGCCGAGTGCCCAAGTGAAATTTCGGCAGGCGGCGCCTGAAACAATTTTTTGTGCTTCAAGACAAGATGGACACTAGCTTCATCAAACACCACACACCGGTGCCGTAGCACATCATATTCCCTCATGTCGGGCTCCAACACCCCGGAACAATTGGTTTCATACGTGTGATCTGCGCCAAAGAGAGACCGTGCATAGACAGTCTTCCCCAGGCGCGTTGGGCCATTCAGCACCAAGAATTTTCGGCGATGCATAGGCCGCGTGAACTGTGGCAAGAACAGCTGCGTCACTTCTGGTAGTTCCACTGGCTCTTTCTGCAGTGGGCGCAAGAGCTCTGCTGCAGCAGCCTGCTGCTGCTGAATGTACAGCTCCCGTTGTTTCTGGCCATGGTACTTCAGGTTCTCACAGTAAGCACGAATGTTGCGCTTGCATTGGACGTAGTGCTGCTCGGCACACTCCTTGTTAATCTTATCCCCCTGCCAAAGTCCAGTCACCCAGTCGGGGCTCACTGTGAAAGTCTGGCAAGTGGTCTGGCGAAAAATGGACCCTTTCTTCTCCACTTGGAGATAAAAGTGCCCTTGATCCAGTGCACGACGGACTGACCGCCCACGAGCCTGCGAGGAATCCAAGGAGATGTGCGGCTTGCACCCACGAAATGCCAAACTTTGTCCAGACAGATGCACTTGTCGCCCTGGCCGCAGCATGCGGGTGCATGGGCCAGGAAGGTACGGTGCTAGAGCCTATCTGGTTCTGTTAGCCATCAGAACCAAACATGAAACAGGACCGAAAAGTATGGGGAAGGTGCGTCCTCACATTGGGCTGCGAAAAAGAATGACTGGCACTGGGAATGAAAGAAAAAATGACATGATTCAGGCTTGCGAGAGAGGTGCCCGCATTGCTGCCGAGTCGCGGGTGTCAAACATCATGTGCAAGTGAATGGAAGGCACTCTGCGTTGCAGCGTCACCTCTGTGTGGAGCTCCAGGGCGGTGCTGACCCGTTCAAAGCGGTACTTGTTGCCGAGCTCGGTCATCCAACTTTGAAAGTCATCCCAAATGGCAAGCACCTGCGGTGCGTTTCGTCGTAGGCCGGCACTGAGCAGATCAATGTCGACAGATGGTCCTGCCGCAAGCAGGTCCAAGGAAGGTTGATGCTCAATCATGCTAAAGGAGCCACTGTATCGGAACATAGTACCAGTGCCCTTGTATGCTTGCGGCGATGGCTCGTTGACAATCGGCTCTTCGACATGCCACCCTGCCAGTAGGTCACGTGCAGCACGTGCAAACTTCACAGGAATTTGCGGCAACATGTCGCGCAAAATCTGCGGCCTGTCGGCTTGTGCAAATGAAGCTCTCCACCGCTGCCGCTTGGCGTGTCCGTGCTCATTCCGAGCGGCCATTCGCTGCGCAGCCCATTTGTCGCGCAGCCATATCAGCAGCTGCTTGCGTGCCTCCCGGTCAGGGGGGCCGTCTGGCGGCGGCTGCTTACCACAGAGTCGCCGTCGGACAGGCATGGCGGCACTGTGGCTCAATGATCATGTTCTTGTTTTGCTGCGTGACATGAAGGGGCCCTCATGGGAAGTTAATACCCTGGCAGCTAAGCAGTCGATGACAAAGCGACCGTACAATGAACAGCATGCAATGCCTCACCATGCTCTGTCTGGATGTGGGCACGGCGGCGGCACCCAAACAGCAGACCAAGCCTGCTCGCAGGCATGAGGACAAGCAAGCTTCCCATAGAGGAGCAGGAGATAGACGCGTCAGTTCTGGACATTGATGAGTTCAAATTGGTTATAAATGGGAGTCTATAAGGTCGAAATGGGGTTATGACTACTTATAACTGGTCAATGGCCATAACTGGTCTAATAGCAGAGCGGGCCAAAGAAAAGACTACAAGGCAAACAAGTGTGGGCAGCGGCTCAGCAGCTTTGTTTTCGTCAAGTACGCACGGACTTTCCGCGCCACTCGAGACTGTTGTCCCAGCGCTTGCATGGCTGAAAAACCTTGGCAGGAGCATGGAGAGGACCAAGCGACGGGTATGGACTGCGACAAAACCCAGACGACAGCACGGACAGGATCGGTCGGAGGACCGCGGAGGACCAAGCAACGGGAAAAACTATGGAAAAACGGGGGCAAAAATGGCGGTCCTCCAAATCCGCCTCTGGGAGAATAGAATTATTTGTAGCTACAAGCGAGGTTGGAGGACCATGTTGAAGCATGTTGTTCTGTGTCGCCACCATTCTAAAGGTGTCCCTTCCCACAGGCATGGTGCTTTTCTTCCTCCTCTGGGTCTACAGACCTATACATACATATCTATATCTACGTAGATATATCTCTTCATCGACATATATATATATACATACCTTTCTCTCCATGTCTTTCTCTATCTCTCTATCGCTCTTTTATTCTCGATCTACATATATCTCCATATACATGTCTATCGCTATCTAGAATCGGTACTAGAATGAAATACTCTAACGACTGGAAAGCGGGATCTTGAGCACTTTCATGCTGACAGCTTTGAACCAGGTAAAACCAAAAGACTGATCTTTATGTGCACATCTCCTGTTTTTTTTCAAAATGCAGCATGGCATTGAATGCTTGAAAGTCCCAACGCGAAGCATTGGCTTTTCGAACCGGATCACGAACAGTCCCGATCACCGACTTGCATCTCGAACATTCTTTTCCTTTCGAACCGGATCACGAACAGTCCCGATCACCGACTTGCATCTCGAACATTCTTTTCCTTTCGACCCGGATCACGAACATTCCCGATCACCGACTTTCATCTCGACCATTGTATTGAAAAGTGAAACGAACGCATTGGGATGAGGAAGCGACCAGTTTCATATCAGCCACCTCCTAAAAAACTAGTCTTGTACGCATTTTATTTCGAGGTCTCTATTCTCCAAAGCACATGTCTATCTAGATCGATATAAGGCTTTCTGGGGTATGTTCCGACTTGTCTTTTGTAAAGAATCCACCTTGAAGTCGTTTCAAAGTTCTTCAAACCTAAAGTTTTGCGTTTGGCAAAGCTCAGCTGTGTCTCATAGATTTTCTGTCCGCGTCTCCTAGATTTTATTCCAGTCATTATCCCCATTGGTGGTTTTGGATGGATAGGGCAATTCAGGCATCAACATTCCTTGAATTGGGCAATCCATCCTTTAGGGGGTCATTACACTCCCAAAAATTAGCATAACCCCAAAAATAGTGTCACGGATGAGATAGGGAGGTTCCCGGTTCAACCAACCCTTATATAATATCCAGCAACCAAGCTATCTAATCCGCTGGGGGGGTTCCTACACCGATTTAATCAAATGGGGGTGTGCTTCGAAGTTGCTACGCACGGAGCGGTTCGCTCCCCCCAATTGACCAAATCAGTTCCTAATTATATAGTATTCTCTTATATTAATATATGTATATACAAATATATGTACGTACGTATCTATCATCCCATATCATCTTTGACATTTGCTGTCATGAAACATTGCAATCCCAATAGTTCACTCACCTGCATGGTTTGGCCATTTGGGGATGATTGAGGTCGTTATCATTTACCCTTTTCCGACAATCTACTAATTCATGCAAGCACCCTCATTTTGCGGATGCTAGGCCTGGGAACTGGGTGTCATGCTGGTTGGTTACCCATCAAAAGTGGTGGTCGAACCGGGGAAGATTGATAGACCTCAACAGCGTTTTACCGTCTGGTAAATTAACATAGACCGTGGGAGATAGGGATGGAAGACTAGTTGCCATTAAACCTTGGTGATTTTAAGGGTCTATGTTAATTTACCAGTGGGTAAATCACTTTAACCATATAGGGATTCGCCAGTCATTTTTTATGGTGGTGCACCGCGGTTGACCATTGGGGATTTATCAAACGATGGGCTTATATCATTGATTGAGCCTTAGGGGTAACTGGCGAGAAATCGCCATCAAACATGGGAATTTAACATGAACCAAGAAACCAAGGGTACAATTGCTAGATGTAGAGTCACTTCCCCCCTGGACAGGCAGCTGCACCATGTGCCCAGATGCAATGTGGCACAGCACCAGCCGCCAGCACCAGGCGCAAAGGCCCCAGAACGGCAGCAGCATCGCCAGGTCGTGCACGCACCAGGCGCAACGGCCGCAGCGCACCAGCATCCATCGCTGCCGCCGCAGCAAGAGAATGTTAAATCACTGACAGGATACGGCGTGTGCTATGTGTCACACAGTGGTGCGTCAATCAAGCAGGCCTCTGAATCCAATGAATGAATCTGAATAATCACTCCTACAGCCACTATGCAAAGCAATCGTCTGACTCCACTGACTGAATCGCTCTCACTTCCCACAGCCAACATGCAACATGAGTGGCCAGCTGCGATTGTTTTCAGACACCTTTGGCGTCAGGTTGTTAATCACACATAGGTGCACACTTCGTGTGCAAACTTGCAACTTCCTCACGCGTGTGCGTGCCATTGTAACACATGCAGGACGACATTGGCGCCCTTCACGGGCAAATACCAACACAGAGTCTCCTGCATAGCTCTGCACTTGTCAGAGACATGCCCATGCAGACAAACTGCAAACATCAGGGACGACCATTGGCAACCTTGACCGCCAACAGCCACGACAAATCTGCCGTGCTCAGTTTCCCAGCTTGCTGCATGATGCGACGGCGTTTTTTCTCCTGCGCCCGGCACAGACAATTTGCTGCAAACAAGCTAGCATTGATCAAGACAGGACATTATACCATGTCTGATGGCCACCAGTCTATGTCCTGGCTCTTCACCTCTCGGGTTGCTTGCGCCAACTGCCGCTTCAGTGCCTGTCGCGCTGCTTTCAAATCTGCCAAACGGTCTGCCGGCGGCGCAACGGCCGCAACATCAGCAGGTGCTGCTTCTGACGACATGGCTTCGCAGCAAGTGCGTCAAGGTGAGGGTCACCCAGGGCAAGTTCCTTCTGGCCAAAAGCTTGCAGAGTCTTCTGACAGTTGCTTCAGGGTTGCACGCTGCAAGCACATGCTTGCAAAGAGATGACACTAACACTAGCCTACACGGGGAACCCAAAAATGGGGGCTGGGATTATGCATAGAACTCGGCTTCCACAAGCTGGACCCTAATAGTCTCACAACATTTTCACTTGTACGCAGGCAAGTCAAAACAAGGCTTTGTAAGCATACACCATACGGCGTCGCTCTGGCCACAAACATTGCACTTCCTCTCGGGTTGGTTTGACCCCTTCGGGGAAACTCACCGGAAAATCCATCAACTCCCGCAGCTCCCGATGGAGTACTTGCGGATCAGGCGGATTGGTGCATCCGACCGCTGCGAAGCTACTGCGCCATGCCTTCTGCGCGAAAAATTCACGCGGGCATTGCATCAGCTCCCAAATCCATGCCAGGGGATTCACCAAACCATGCTGGGAAGTTGCTTTCAGACCTTCGTGCCTTGCCCGCAAAAAGGCTTTGAAGCCAGCAAATGCACAAATGTCCAGCGGCTGCAGCACATCAGTGCATTGCGCCGGTATGTAAACCAGCTGCACCTTCTGCCTCTTTGCCGCTTGCATGACCTCCTTTGGCAAGTGGCTAGGCGCACAGTCCAGCAACAAGATACCTTGTTTGCCTGGATACAGCTTCAGCACCTCACCAATGTCTCGCAAGAGTTGCACCATGTTCGCAGCAGAAGTCCATGCAGACTTTTGCGCAATGATCTTCAATCGGGTTGGTGGCAAGGCTTTCTGTGCCCGCAGCAACTTGCGCGTCAGCCTCGTCTTGGAACCTATCAGGTAATGTGGTAACTTCCCTTGGACATCTGTAGAATTGCAAATGAGGCTGAGGTATGTCCAAGCTCCTCTCCGATCCTGCTTCGACACTTTCGCGACCGCAGGAGCCACCACATTGCCAAGCCGCGGCTTCATGGTATACCCTACGCTCGTCTCATCAACATTCAAGATGAGAATGTCTCGGTCGGCAAACTTCTGGTATAGATAGCGCAGATGCCGCCAAAAAGCATTGACCTTGCAGGACAAAGCATGCGGTGTGGAAACAACACCGACGCATCCAAAAGGGTGCAGCAATAGAGGGCGACAAAACAAACCCGAAAACTGGGACCAGAAATGGGGCCCTTAAGGCTAAGCCTGTGCATGCAAGCAATATACGGCAACGTACTCGGACCCTTTTTTGGGTCCGGAATCTGGACCCAAAAAGGGGGCCAAAATACTGCAGCAGTTTCCTCCCGTCCAAGGGACTTTCGCTTTTAAAACTGCCGGGTCCTTGTGCACCACCTGTTGCAACACTTTGCGGCGGACACCCCAACGCGCACGCCACTTCTGCGCCCACTTGTTCACGTAGCGTCGCGGAGGGACACCCACGTCGAGCTGATGGCCGATAAAGGCATGCTCCCAGTGCAAGAAGACGTCCATCGAGGAAGGGGCCACACCATGCAAGACATTGCAATCACGCACCCAATCCGAAGTTGCGGCCTCTGCCAAAAAGGCGTGTGCCCTCTGCGCTGCTAGCTCGCCGAATTCCAGCCAGTCTGTTGGCGGGGATTCCAAAAAAAGCTCTTCTAGGGCTGCAGCTGTTGGGAACCCAGCATCCTCAGGGCGCTTGTACGTGGATAACCTGCAAGCCACGCGGACAGCGAGAGCTATGTTGTAGTTGGACAGCACATACACAGCTAGGGTCGTTCGGCGAGCTGCAGGCCCCAGGCCACAACATTGCACTCTCTTTTGCTGCCGTCTGGCCTGCTGGTAAGCGCCTTTCAACTCGTTCCGGTTAGCCACTAAAGCTTGCTGTAATCGGACTACTTCAGCTGCAGCTGCATCCGGCATCATGGCATGCACAGGGACGCCGGCAAGCCGTGTGTCACACAGGCAGACAATATGGAGACTCCTGCCTACGGGCCATGTGTTTTGCCCAAAGAAGCTGTATGACAAGGAAACACTGTTGAAAGTTCATGCTTCAGAGAATGAGCAACAGTGTTGACGGAAACATGGAAACATGCCGGTCACCCATGCTGACGCAGAAGTCAAACTGAGCCCGTCCCAGCTCTGCAAGTAGCAGCAAGCGACGTGGCCATGCTGCAAAGTGACACCCAAGGAATCCAAGTCTGCAAGTGCGCTGCGTTGACAGCAGCCGGCATGTCACAGTCTCACAACATTTTCACTTGTACGCAGGCAAGTCAAAACAAGGCTTTGTAAGCATACACCATACGGCGTCGCTCTGGCCACAAACATTGCACTTCCTCTCGGGTTGGTTTGACCCCTTCGGGGAAACTCACCGGAAAATCCATTAACTCCCGCAGCTCCCGATGGAGTACTTGCGGATCAGGCGGATTGGTGCATCCGACCGCTGCGAAGCTACTGCGCCATGCCTTCTGCGCGAAAAATTATTTGTAGCTACAAGCGAGGTTGGAGGACCATGTTGAAGCATGTTGTTCTGTGTCGCCACCATTCTAAAGGTGTCCCTTCCCACAGGCATGGTGCTTTTCTTCCTCCTCTGGGTCTACAGACCTATACATACATATCTATATCTCCGTAGATATATCTCTTCATCGACATATATATATATATACATACCTTTCTCTCCATGTCTTTCTCTATCTCTCTATCGCTCTTTTATTCTCGATCTACATATATCTCCATATACATGTCTATCGCTATCTAGAATCGGTACTAGAATGAAATACTCTAACGACTGGAAAGCGGGATCTTGAGCACTTTCATGCTGACAGCTTTGAACCAGGTAAAACCAAAAGACTGATCTTTATGTGCACATCTCCTGTTTTTTTTCAAAATGCAGCATGGCATTGAATGCTTGAAAGTCCCAACGCGAAGCATTGGCTTTTCGAACCCGATCACGAACAGTCCCGATCACCGATTTGCATCTCGAACATTCTTTTCCTTTCGAACCGGATCACGAACAGTCCCGATCACCGACTTGCATCTCGAACATTCTTTTCCTTTCGACCCGGATCACGAACATTCCCGATCACCGACTTTCATCTCGACCATTGTATTGAAAAGTGAAACGAACGCATTGGGATGAGGAAGCGACCAGTTTCATATCAGCCACCTCCTAAAAAACTAGTCTTGTACGCATTTTATTTCGAGGTCTCTATTCTCCAAATCACATGTCTATCTAGATCGATATAAGGCTTTCTGGGGTATGTTCCGACTTGTCTTTTGTAAAGAATCCACCTTGAAGTCGTTTCAAAGTTCTTCAAACCTAAAGTTTTGCGTTTGGCAAAGCTCAGCTGTGTCTCATAGATTTTCTGTCCGCGTCTCCTAGATTTTATTCCAGTCATTATCCCCATTGGTGGTTTTGGATGGATAGGGCAATTCAGGCATCAACATTCCTTGAATTGGGCAATCCATCCTTTAGGGGGTCATTACACTCCCAAAAATTAGCATAACCCCAAAAATAGTGTCGCGGATGAGATAGGGAGGTTCCCGGTTCAACCAACCTTATATAATATCCAGCAACCAAGCTATCTAATCCGCTGGGGGGGTTCCTACACCGATTTAATCAAATGGGGGTGTGCTTCGAAGTTGCTACGCACGGAGCGGTTCGCTCCCCCCAATTGACCAAATCAGTTCCTAATTATATAATATTCTCTTATATTAATATATGTATATACAAATATATGTACGTACGTATCTATCATCCCATATCATCTTTGACATTTGCTGTCATGAAACATTGCAATCCCAATAGTTCACTCACCTGCATGGTTTGGCCATTTGGGGATGATTGAGGTCGTTATCATTTACCCTTTTCCGACAATCTACTAATTCATGCAAGCACCCTCATTTTGCGGATGCTAGGCCTGGGAACTGGGTGTCATGCTGGTTGGTTACCCATCAAAAGTGGTGGTCGAACCGGGGAAGATTGATAGACCTCAACAGCGTTTTACCGTCTGGTAAATTAACATAGACCGTGGGAGATAGGGATGGAAGACTAGTTGCCATTAAACCTTGGTGATTTTAAGGGTCTATGTTAATTTACCAGTGGGTAAATCACTTTAACCATATAGGGATTCGCCAGTCATTTTTTATGGTGGTGCACCGCGGTTGACCATTGGGGATTTATCAAACGATGGGCTTATATCATTGATTGAGCCTTATGGGTAACTGGCGAGAAATCGCCATCAAACATGGGAATTTAACATGAACCAAGAAACCAAGGGTACAATTGCTAGATGTAGAGTCACTTCCCCCCTGGACAGGCAGCTGCACCATGTGCCCAGATGCAATGTGGCACAGCACCAGCCGCCAGCACCAGGCGCAAAGGCCCCAGAACGGCAGCAGCATCGCCAGGTCGTGCACGCACCAGGCGCAACGGCCGCAGCGCACCAGCATCCATCGCTGCCGCCGCAGCAAGAGAATGTTAAATCACTGACAGGATACGGCGTGTGCTATGTGTCACACAGTGGTGCGTCAATCAAGCAGGCCTCTGAATCCAATGAATGAATCTGAATAATCACTCCTACAGCCACTATGCAAAGCAATCGTCTGACTCCACTGACTGAATCGCTCTCACTTCCCACAGCCAACATGCAACATGAGTGGCCAGCTGCGATTGTTTTCAGACACCTTTGGCGTCAGGTTGTTAATCACACATAGGTGCACACTTCGTGTGCAAACTTGCAACTTCCTCACGCGTGTGCGTGCCATTGTAACACATGCAGGACGACATTGGCGCCCTTCACGGGCAAATACCAACACAGAGTCTCCTGCATAGCTCTGCACTTGTCAGAGACATGCCCATGCAGACAAACTGCAAACATCAGGGACGACCATTGGCAACCTTGACCGCCAACAGCCACGACAAATCTGCCGTGCTCAGTTTCCCAGCTTGCTGCATGATGCGACGGCGTTTTTTCTCCTGCGCCCGGCACAGACAATTTGCTGCAAACAAGCTAGCATTGATCAAGACAGGACATTATACCATGTCTGATGGCCACCAGTCTATGTCCTGGCTCTTCACCTCTCGGGTTGCTTGCGCCAACTGCCGCTTCAGCGCCTGTCGCGCTGCTTTCAAATCTGCCAAACGGTCTGCCGGCGGCGCAACGGCCGCAACATCAGCAGGTGCTGCTTCTGACGACATGGCTTCGCAGCAAGTGCGTCAAGGTGAGGGTCACCCAGGGCAAGTTCCTTCTGGCCAAAAGCTTGCAGAGTCTTCTGACAGTTGCTTCAGGGTTGCACGCTGCAAGCACATGCTTGCAAGCAGACACTAACACTAGCCTACACGGGGAACCCAAAAATGGGGGCTGGGATTATGCATAGAACTCGGCTTCCACAAGCTGGACCCTAATAGTCTCACAACATTTTCACTTGTACGCAGGCAAGTCAAAACAAGGCTTTGTAAGCATACACCATACGGCGTCGCTCTGGCCACAAACATTGCACTTCCTCTCGGGTTGGTTTGACCCCTTCGGGGAAACTCACCGGAAAATCCATTAACTCCCGCAGCTCCCGATGGAGTACTTGCGGATCAGGCGGATTGGTGCATCCGACCGCTGCGAAGCTACTGCGCCATGCCTTCTGCGCTAAAAATTCACGCGGGCATTGCATCAGCTCCCAAATCCATGCCAGGGGATTCACCAAACCATGCTGGGAAGTTGCTTTCAGACCTTCGTGCCTTGCCCGCAAAAAGGCTTTGAAGCCAGCAAATGCACAAATGTCCAGCGGCTGCAGCACATCAGTGCATTGCGCCGGTATGTAAACCAGCTGCACCTTCTGCCTCTTTGCCGCTTGCATGACCTCCTTTGGCAAGTGGCTAGGCGCACAGTCCAGCAACAAGATACCTTGTTTGCCTGGATACAGCTTCAGCACCTCACCAATGTCTCGCAAGAGTTGCACCATGTTCGCAGCAGAAGTCCATGCAGACTTTTGCGCAATGATCTTCAATCGGGTTGGTGGCAAGGCTTTCTGTGCCCGCAGCAACTTGCGCGTCAGCCTCGTCTTGGAACCTATCAGGTAATGTGGTAACTTCCCTTGGACATCTGTAGCATTGCAAATGAGGCTGAGGTATGTCCAAGCTCCTCTCCGATCCTGCTTCGACACTTTCGCGACCGCAGGAGCCACCACATTGCCAAGCCGCGGCTTCATGGTATACCCTATGCTCGTCTCATCAACATTCAACATGAGAATGTCTCGGTCGGCAAACTTCTGGTATAGATAGCGCAGATGCCGCCAAAAAGCATTGACCTTGCAGGACAAAGCATGCGGTGTGGAAACAACACCGACGCATCCAAAAGGGTGCAGCAATAGAGGGCGAGAAAACAAACCCGAAAACTGGGACCAGAAATGGGGCCCTTAAGGCTAATCCTGTGCATGCAAACAATATACGGCAACGTACTCGGACCCTTTTTTGGGTCCGGAATCTGGACCCAAAAAGGGGGCCAAAATACTGCAGCAGTTTCCTCCCGTCCAAGGGACTTTCGCTTTTAAAACTGCCGGGTCCTTGTGCACCACCTGTTTCAACACTTTGCGGCGGACACCCCAACGCGCACGCCACTTCTGCGCCCACTTGTTCACGTAGCGTCCCGGAGGGACACCCACGTCGAGCTGATGGCCGATAAAGGCATGCTCCCAGTGCAAGAAGACGTCCATCGAGGAAGGGGCCACACCATGCAAGACATTGCAATCACGCACCCAATCCGAAGTTGCGGCCTCTGCCAAAAAGGCGTGTGCCCTCTGCGCTGCTAGCTCGCCGAATTCCAGCCAGTCTGTTGGCGGGGATTCCAAAAAAAGCTCTTCTAGGGCTGCAGCTGTTGGGAACCCAGCATCCTCAGGGCGCTTGTACGTGGATAACCTGCAAGCCACGCGGACAGCGAGAGCTATGTTGTAGTTGGACAGCACATACACAGCTAGGGTCGTTCGGCGAGCTGCAGGCCCCAGGCCACAACATTGCACTCTCTTTTGCTGCCGTCTGGCCTGCTGGTAAGCGCCTTTCAACTCGTTCCGGTTAGCCACTAAAGCTTGCTGTAATCGGACTACTTCAGCTGCAGCTGCATCCGGCATCATGGCATGCACAGGGACGCCGGCAAGCCGTGTGTCACACAGGCAGACAATATGGAGACTCCTGCCTACGGGCCATGTGTTTTGCCCAAAGAAGCTGTATGACAAGGAAACACTGTTGAAAGTTCATGCTTCAGAGAATGAGCAACAGTGTTGATGGAAACATGGAAACATGCCGGTCACCCATGCTGACGCAGAAGTCAAACTGAGCCCGTCCCAGCTCTGCAAGTAGCAGCAAGCGACGTGGCCATGCTGCAAAGTGACACCCAAGGAATCCAAGTCTGCAAGTGCGCTGCGTTGACAGCAGCCGGCATGTCACAGTCTCACAACATTTTCACTTGTACGCAGGCAAGTCAAAACAAGGCTTTGTAAGCATACACCATACGGCGTCGCTCTGGCCACAAACATTGCACTTCCTCTCGGGTTGGTTTGACCCCTTCGGGGAAACTCACCGGAAAATCCATCAACTCCCGCAGCTCCCGATGGAGTACTTGCGGATCAGGCGGATTGGTGCATCCGACCGCTGCGAAGCTACTGCGCCATGCCTTCTGCGCGAAAAATTCACGCGGGCATTGCATCAGCTCCCAAATCCATGCCAGGGGATTCACCAAACCATGCTGGGAAGTTGCTTTCAGACCTTCGTGCCTTGCACGCAAAAAGGCTTTGAAGCCAGCAAATGCACAAATGTCCAGCGGCTGCAGCACATCAGTGCATTGCGCCGGTATGTAAACCAGCTGCACCTTCTGCCTCTTTGCCGCTTGCATGACCTCCTTTGGCAAGTGGCTAGGCGCACAGTCCAGCAACAAGATACCTTGTTTGCCTGGATACAGCTTCAGCACCTCACCAATGTCTCGCAAGAGTTGCACCATGTTCGCAGCAGAAGTCCATGCAGACTTTTGCGCAATGATCTTCAATCGGGTTGGTGGCAAGGCTTTCTGTGCCCGCAGCAACTTGCGCGTCAGCCTCGTCTTGGAACCTATCAGGTAATGTGGTAACTTCCCTTGGACATCTGTAGAATTGCAAATGAGGCTGAGGTATGTCCAAGCTCCTCTCCGATCCTGCTTCGACACTTTCGCGACCGCAGGAGCCACCACATTGCCAAGCCGCGGCTTCATGGTATACCCTACGCTCGTCTCATCAACATTCAACATGAGAATGTCTCGGTCGGCAAACTTCTGGTATACTAAGACCACAAAATGAAGATATTTTCACTTTAGGCACTTAATGAAGATATTAGTAGTTATATGAACTTATCATAGAAGTGTTTTTTCTTTATTTTTACTTATTTTCACTTATTTTTCAATGTTTTTTTGATGATCAGAATTGATTATAGACGATGCATTTTTCTGTTATATATTTTTGGAAAATAGTTGTCGACCTTTTTGTTTCCTTTGGAATATTTTTTCTTGCCTTTTTTCATTGTTTTTTTCATTCTTTTCAGGCATCATCCTTTTAGAAATCACCCTTTTCAGGATTTATCCTTTTCAGGAATTATCCTTTTCAGGACTTATCCTTTCAGGATTTTTTTTATTCAGAATGAATCCTTTTCAGGAACTATCCTTAACAGGAATCTTTCTATTCAGATTGATTTCATTTTCAGGAACAGTGCTTTTCAGGAGTTATCTTCTACAGGAAATGGTTCTTCTACAGGAATATGCGCGGCTGCGAGTGACACAAAGAATCTTGAAGTACATCTGTGGAGAAATCATTCAGAGGCAAAAGGAAAAAACATATAAAGGATGCTTCTTGGAAAGAACAATTGCTCTTTTGATGTGTCTTCTTCAATTGTATACGACTGCCCAGAATGAGATCTTTCACAACATGAGGCTTCGGTTGCTACTTCCAAACTACATAATTCAGGGATGAAGATGGATACCTAATTTGGAAAATATTCTATTATATTTTTTTGTTGGTAAAAGATTTAAAGCTAGCTGGCTTGCTTTTCGTTTTGAAAATGTATTTTCTATAATTGCTATTTATGTTTTATTGTTCATATTGTTCTACAATTTACTTTCTTTTGATTTCGCATACTTTGTTCATACGGTTTTTTTGCTGAGATTTTGGTGGTTGATTAATCGCAGGGAATTATTAATCCTAACTTGACATTATTATAAATACTTACTTATCCTTTTTTTTCTCTATAAATATGTCCTGAATTTTCTGAAATTTCTGAATTTTCTGGATTTTCTGAATTTTCTGAATTTTCTGAATTTTCTGAATTTTCTGAATTTTCTGAATTTTCTGAAATTTCTGAAATTTCTGAATTTTCTGAATTTTCTGAAATTTCTGAATTTTCTGAATTTTCTGAAATTTTTGAATTTTCTGAATTTTCTGAATTTTCTGAATTTTCTGAATTTTCGGAAATGTCTGAAATTTCTGAGTTTTCTGAATTTCCTGAATTTTCTGAATTTTCTGAAATTTCTGAATTTTCTGAATTTTCTGAATTTTCTGAATTTCCTGAATTTTCTGAATTGTTTTCCTTTTAATTTAAATTGTAAATTCTGAATTTTCTGAATTTTCTGAAATTTCTGAAATTTCTGAATTTTCTGAATTTTCTGAATTTTCTGAAATTTCTGAATTTTCTGAATTTTCTGAAATTTTTGAATTTTCTGAATTTTCTGAATTTTCTGAATTTTCTGAATTTTCGGAAATGTCTGAAATTTCTGAGTTTTCTGAATTTTCTGATTTTTTCTGAATTTTCTGAATTTTCTAAATTTTCCTTTCCAGGAAGTATCCTGCAGAGAACTATTCCCTACAATTTTTTTCCTTTCCAGGAAGTATCCTGCAGAGAACTATTCCCTACAAATTTTTTCCTTTCCAGGAAGTATCCTGCAGAGAACTATTCCCTACAAAAGTTTTCCTTTCCAGGAAGTATCCTGCAGAGAACTATTCCCTACAATTTTTTTCCTTTCCAGGAAGTATCCTGCAGAGAACTATTCCCTACAAATTTTTTCCTTTCCAGGAAGTATCCTGCAGAGAACTATTCCCTACAATTTTTTCCTTTCCAGGAAGTATCCTGCAGAGAACTATTCCCTACAATGTTTTTCCTTTCCAGGAAGTATCCTGCAGAGAACTATTCCCTACAATTTTTTTCCTTTCCAGGAAGTATCCTGCAGAGAACTATTCCCTACACAATTTTTCCTTTCCAGGAAGTATCCTGCAGAGAACTATTCCCTACAATTTTTTTCCTTTCCAGGAAGTATCCTGCAGAGAACTATTCCCTACAATTTTTTCCTTTCCAGGAAGTATCCTGCAGAGAACTATTCCCTACATTTTTTTTCCTTTCCAGGAAGTATCCTGCAGAGAACTATTCCCTACAATTTTTTCCTTTCCAGGAAGTATCCTGCAGAGAACTATTCCCCACACAATTTTTCCTTTTCAGGAAGTATCCTGCAGAGAAATTGTCCCTACATTTTTTTTTCCTACCATTTTTTTTCCAAATAGGCGCCTTCAGAGAATTGTTCTTTAGCAGCATATTCCTGTTCAGGAAGGTTTCGTCAGAAAAGTAGTGCTCTGAGACAATATTGTTTCGTCGAAAATCAACATTCCTGCGAATCTATCAAACACACATAAAAATCAAATTTCACTTCTTATCACTTCTTTTCGCTTATTTTGGCTTATGTTTGACTAATATTCTACTATATTTGCTTATATTTTCCTTATTATGTTATAAGTTCACCTAAAAATTTAGTGGAACTTATAACAAAATATTTTTGAAAAAACAATTTGAACAAGATATTAGAAGGATAATAGTAACTTATAGTATACTTATAAATTCATTAAGTGCCTAAAGTGCAAATATTTGCATTTTGTGGTCTCAGTAGATAGCGCAGATGCCGCCAAAAAGCATTGACCTTGCAGGACAAAGCATGCGGTGTGGAAACAACACCGACGCATCCAAAAGGGTGCAGCAATAGAGGGCGACAAAACAAACCCGAAAACTGGGACCAGAAATGGGGCCCTTAAGGCTAATCCTGTGCATGCAAACAATATACGGCAACGTACTCGGACCCTTTTTTGGGTCCGGAATCTGGACCCAAAAAGGGGGCCAAAATACTGCAGCAGTTTCCTCCCGTCCAAGGGACTTTCGCTTTTAAAACTGCCGGGTCCTTGTGCACCACCTGTTTCAACACTTTGCGGCGGACACCCCAACGCGCACGCCACTTCTGCGCCCACTTGTTCACGTAGCGTCGCGGAGGGACACCCACGTCGAGCTGATGGCCGATAAAGGCATGCTCCCAGTGCAAGAAGACGTCCATCGAGGAAGGGGCCACACCATGCAAGACATTGCAATCACGCACCCAATCCGAAGTTGCGGCCTCTGCCAAAAAGGCGTGTGCCCTCTGCGCTGCTAGCTCGCCGAATTCCAGCCAGTCTGTTGGCGGGGATTCCAAAAAAAGCTCTTCTAGGGCTGCAGCTGTTGGGAACCCAGCATCCTCAGGGCGCTTGTACGTGGATAACCTGCAAGCCACGCGGACAGCGAGAGCTATGTTGTAGTTGGACAGCACATACACAGCTAGGGTCGTTCGGCGAGCTGCAGGCCCCAGGCCACAACATTGCACTCTCTTTTGCTGCCGTCTGGCCTGCTGGTAAGCGCCTTTCAACTCGTTCCGGTTAGCCACTAAAGCTTGCTGTAATCGGACTACTTCAGCTGCAGCTGCATCCGGCATCATGGCATGCACAGGGACGCCGGCAAGCCGTGTGTCACACAGGCAGACAATATGGAGACTCCTGCCTACGGGCCATGTGTTTTGCCCAAAGAAGCTGTATGACAAGGAAACACTGTTGAAAGTTCATGCTTCAGAGAATGAGCAACAGTGTTGACGGAAACATGGAAACATGCCGGTCACCCATGCTGACGCAGAAGTCAAACTGAGCCCGTCCCAGCTCTGCAAGTAGCAGCAAGCGACGTGGCCATGCTGCAAAGTGACACCCAAGGAATCCAAGTCTGCAAGTGCGCTGCGTTGACAGCAGCCGGCATGTCACAACAAGGGCCCTCACTGACGACAGCTAGTTTGCAACCGTCTGGCGACCCCTTTTTTTGGAACCGGCCGTGGCCTCAGTCTTGTCTGTATAAGGGCTGGCTACACTGAATGAGAATCGCATTCCCTTCTAGCCATTCCCGATCTTCTGCAGCGAGCTGCTCCAGTTCGGTGGTCCAGACATTGGATGTGACAATGAGAGCGACATTCCAAACCCAGATGCGATAAACATACATGCCTGTCGCCGAGTGCCCAAGTGAAATTTCGGCAGGCGGCGCCTGAAACAATTTTTTGTGCTTCAAGACAAGATGGACACTAGCTTCATCAAACACCACACACCGGTGCCGTAGCACATCATATTCCCTCATGTCGGGCTCCAACACCCCGGAACAATTGGTTTCATACGTGTGATCTGCGCCAAAGAGAGACCGTGCATAGACAGTCTTCCCCAGGCGCGTTGGGCCATTCAGCACCAAGAATTTTCGGCGATGCATAGGCCGCGTGAACTGTGGCAAGAACAGCTGCGTCACTTCTGGTAGTTCCACTGGCTCTTTCTGCAGTGGGCGCAAGAGCTCTGCTGCAGCAGCCTGCTGCTGCTGAATGTACAGCTCCCGTTGTTTCTGGCCATGGTACTTCAGGTTCTCACAGTAAGCACGAATGTTGCGCTTGCACTGGACGTAGTGCTGCTCGGCACACTCCTTGTTAATCTTATCCCCCTGCCAAAGTCCAGTCACCCAGTCGGGGCTCACTGTGAAAGTCTGGTATGCTGGGCAAGTGGTCTGGCGAAAAATGGACCCTTTCTTCTCCACTTGGAGATAAAAGTGCCCTTGATCCAGTGCACGACGGACTGACCGCCCACGAGCCTGCGAGGAATCCAAGGAGATGTGCGGCTTGCACCCACGAAATGCCAAACTTTGTCCAGACAGATGCACTTGTCGCCCTGGCCGCAACATGCGGGTGCATGGGCCAGGAAGGTACGGTGCTAGAGCCTATCTGCATGGTTCTGTTAGCCATCAGAACCAAACATGAAACAGGACCGAAAAGTATGGGGAAGGTGCGTCCTCACATTGGGCTGCGAAAAAGAATGACTGGCACTGGGAATGAAAGAAAAAATGACATGATTCAGGCTTGCGAGAGAGGTGCCCGCATTGCTGCCGAGTCGCGGGTGTCAAACATCATGTGCAAGTGAATGGAAGGCACTCTGCGTTGCAGCGTCACCTCTGTGTGGAGCTCCAGGGCGGTGCTGACCCGTTCAAAGCGGTACTTGTTGCCGAGCTCGGTCATCCAACTTTGAAAGTCATCCCAAATGGCAAGCACCTGCGGTGCGTTTCGTAGGCCGGCACTGAGCAGATCAATGTCGACAGATGGTCCTGCCGCAAGCAGGTCCAAGGAAGGTTGATGCTCAATCATGCTAAAGGAGCCACTGTATCGGAACATAGTACCAGTGCCCTTGTATGCTTGCGGCGATGGCTCGTTGACAATCGGCTCTTCGACATGCCACCCTGCCAGTAGGTCACGTGCAGCACGTGCAAACTTCACAGGAATTTGCGGCAACATGTCGCGCAAAATCTGCGGCCTGTCGGCTTGTGCAAATGAAGCTCTCCACCGCTGCCGCTTGGCGTGTCCGTGCTCATTCCGAGTGGCCATTCGCTGCGCAGCCCATTTGTCGCGCAGCCATATCAGCAGCTGCTTGCGTGCCTCCCGGTCAGGGGGGCCGTCTGGCGGCGGCTGCTTACCACAGAGTCGCCGTCGGACAGGCATGGCGGCACTGTGGCTCAATGATCATGTTCTTGTTTTGCTGCGTGACATGAAGGGGCCCTCATGGGAAGTTAATACCCTGGCAGCTAAGCAGTCGATGACAAAGCGACCGTACAATGAACAGCATGCAATGCCTCACCATGCTCTGTCTGGATGTGGGCACGGCGGCGGCACCCAAACAGCAGACCAAGCCTGCTCGCAGGCATGAAGACAAGCAAGCTTCCCATAGAGGAGCAGGAGATAGACGCGTCAGTTCTGGACATTGATGAGTTCAAATTGGTTATAAATGGGAGTCTATAAGGTCGAAATGGGGTTATGACTACTTATAACTGGTCAATGGCCATAACTGGTATAATAGCTGGTCTTTCACAGAGTGCAATGCACAAGAGCGGGCCAAAGAAAAGACTACAAGGCAAACAAGTGTGGGCAGCGGCTCAGCAGCTTTGTTTTCGTCAAGTACGCACGGACTTTCCGCGCCACTCGAGACTGTTGTCCCAGCGCTTGCATGGCTGAAAAACCTTGGCAGGAGCATGGAGAGGACCAAGCGACGGGTATGGACTGCGACAAAACCCAGACGACAGCACGGACAGGATCGGTCGGAGGACCGCGGAGGACCAAGCAACGGGAAAAACTATGGAAAAACGGGGGCAAAAATGGCGGTCCTCCAAATCCGCCTCTGGGAGAATAGAATTATTTGTAGCTACAAGCGAGGTTGGAGGACCATGTTGAAGCATGTTGTTCTGTGTCGCCACCATTCTAAAGGTGTCCCTTCCCACAGGCATGGTGCTTTTCTTCCTCCTCTGGGTCTACAGACCTATACATACATATCTATATCTACGTAGATATATCTCTTCATCGACATATATATATATACATACATACCTTTCTCTCCATGTCTTTCTCTATCTCTCTATCGCTCTTTTATTCTCGATCTATATATATCTCCATATACATGTCTATCGCTATCTAGAATCGGTACTAGAATGAAATACTCTAACGACTGGAAAGCGGGATGCTGACAGCTTAGGCTGATCTTTATGTGCACATCTCCTGTTTTTTTTCAAAATGCAGCATGGCATTGAATGCTTGAAATTCCCAACGCGAAGCATTGGCTTTTCGAACCGGATCACGAACAGTCCCGATCACCGACTTGCATCTCGAACATTCTTTTCCTTTCGACCCGGATCACGAACATTCCCGATCACCGACTTTCATCTCGACCATTGTATTGAAAAGTGAAACGAACGCATTGGGATGAGGAAGCGACCAGTTTCATATCAGCCACACATCTCCTGTTTTTTTTTCAAAATGCAGCATGGCATTGAATGCTTGAAATTCCCAACGCGAAGCATTGGCTTTTCGAACCGGATCACGAACAGTCCCGATCACCGACTTGCATCTCGAACATTCTTTTCCTTTCGACCCGGATCACGAACATTCCCGATCACCGACTTTCATCTCGACCATTGTATTGAAAAGTGAAACGAACGCATTGGGATGAGGAAGCGACCAGTTTCATATCAGCCACCTCCTAAAAAACTAGTCTTGTACGCATTTTATTTCGAGGTCTCTATTCTCCAAATCACATGTCTATCTAGATCGATATAAGGCTTTCTGGGGTATGTTCCGACTTGTCTTTTGTAAAGAATCCACCTTGAAGTCGTTTCAAAGTTCTTCAAACCTAAAGTTTTGCGTTTGGCAAAGCTCAGCTGTGTCTCATAGATTTTCTGTCCGCGTCTCCTAGATTTTATTCCAGTCATTATCCCCTTTGGTGGTTTTGGATGGATAGGGCAATTCAGGCATCAACATTCCTTGAATTGGGCAATCCATCCTTTAGGGGGTCATTACACTCCCAAAAATTAGCATAACCCCAAAAATATTGTCGCGGATGAGATAGGGAGGTTCCCGGTTCAACCAACCCTTATATAATATCCAGCAACCAAGCTATCTAATCCGCTGGGGGGGTTCCTACACCGATTTAATCAAATGGGGGTGTGCTTCGAAGTTGCTACGCACGGAGCGGTTCGCTCCCCCCAATTGACCAAATCAGTTCCTAATTATATAATATTCTCTTATATTAATATATGTATATACAAATATATGTACGTACGTATCTATCATCCCATATCATCTTTGACATTTGCTGTCATGAAACATTGCAATCCCAATAGTTCACTCACCTGCATGGTTTGGCCATTTGGGGATGATTGAAGTCGTTATCATTTACCCTTTTCCGACAATCTACTAATTCATGCAAGCACCCTCATTTTGCGGATGCTAGACCTGGGAACTGGGTGTCATGCTGGTTGGTTACCCATCAAAAGTGGTGGTCGAACCGGGGAAGATTGATAGACCTCAACAGCGTTTTACCGTCTGGTAAATTAACATAGACCGTGGGAGATAGGGATGGAAGACTAGTTGCCATTAAACCTTGGTGATTTTAAGGGTCTATGTTAATTTACCAGTGGGTAAATCACTTTAACCATATAGGGATTCGCCAGTCATTTTTTATGGTGGTGCACCGCGGTTGACCATTGGGGATTTATCAAACGATGGGCTTATATCATTGATTGAGCCTTATGGGTAACTGGCGAGAAATCACCATCAAACATGGGAATTTAACATGAACCAAGAAACCAAGGGTACAATTGCTAGATGTAGAGTCACTTCCCCCCTGGACAGGCAGCTGCACCATGTGCCCAGATGCAATGTGGCACAGCACCAGCCGCCAGCACCAGGCGCAAAGGCCCCAGAACGGCAGCAGCATCGCCAGGTCGTGCACGCACCAGGCGCAACGGCCGCAGCGCACCAGCATCCATCGCTGCCGCCGCAGCAAGAGAATGTTAAATCACTGACAGGATACGGCGTGTGCTATGTGTCACACAGTGGTGCGTCAATCAAGCAGGCCTCTGAATCCAATGAATGAATCTGAATAATCACTCCTACAGCCACTATGCAAAGCAATCGTCTGACTCCACTGACTGAATCGCTCTCACTTCCCACAGCCAACATGCAACATGAGTGGCCGGCTGCGATTGTTTTCAGACACCTTTGGCGTCAGGTTGTTAATCACACATAGGTGCACACTTCGTGTGCAAATTTGCAACTTCCTCACGCGTGTGCGTGCCATTGTAACACATGCAGGACGACATTGGCGCCCTTCACGGGCAAATACCAACACAGAGTCTCCTGCATAGCTCTGCACTTGTCAGAGACATGCCCATGCAGACAAACTGCAAACATCAGGGACGACCATTGGCAACCTTGACCGCCAACAGCCACGACAAATCTGCCGTGCTCAGTTTCCCAGCTTGCTGCATGATGCGACGGCGTTTTTTCTCCTGCGCCCGGCACAGACAATTTGCTGCAAACAAGCTAGCGTTGATCAAGACAGGACATTATACCATGTCTGATGGCCACCAGTCTATGTCCTGGCTCTTCACCTCTCGGGTTGCTTGCGCCAACTGCCGCTTCAGCGCCTGTCGCGCTGCTTTCAAATCTGCCAAACGGTCTGCCGGCGGCGCAACGGCCGCAACATCAGCAGGTGCTGCTTCTGACGACATGGCTTCGCAGCAAGTGCGTCAAGGTGAGGGTCACCCAGGGCAAGTTCCTTCTGGCCAAAAGCTTGCAGAGTCTTCTGACAGTTGCTTCAGGGTTGCACGCTGCAAGCACATGCTTGCAAGCAGACACTAACACTAGCCTACACGGGGAACCCAAAAATGGGGGCTGGGATTATGCATAGAACTCGGCTTCCACAAGCTGGACCCTAATAGTATATATATATATATAAAGATCATATATGTACATATCGAGTGAACGGTCCACACTGTTAATGATGTCAGCCATTGTTCTCTTCTACTGCCATTGTTCTCTTTTATTGCCGTCGCTCCGCGACAAGACCCCTGTGCGGCCGCCACGGTTTGAACGATGTTGTTCTCACACCTTCGCGACCGCTCGTAACTGCCAATGATGTCGGCCATTGAGACCAAAAACATCCGAAAGTACTGATTGTCGGAAAAAAAAAACGCGAAGAATTTGATAGCCATGTATAGCGGACCAACGCAGTTCAAAAAATAGCGAAAAACATGAAAAAACGGCGAAATTGCTGTTATTTACAGTGTTTTTGCGCGGTGAGAAGCAGAAACCACTGCAAATACCATGGTTTTTGAGGGTCAGGTGGCCAAAAACACTGTAATTTACAGTGTTTTTTAACCAACGTCAAAAAACACTGGTATTTACGATGTTTTCATTCACACCGTAACATAAAACAGCGTAATTTACGAGGTTTTTGGAAGTTTTGAAGCTAGCCGTCAAGCATGCAGAAAACAGAAAAACACTGTAAAAACTAGTGTTTCTGCTATCACAAAACGACGAAAATCAGTCCGAAAACGGGTCCAAAAACTCAAAAATCCGCCTCCGGGCCCGGCCACCTGCGGAACCGCAAAAAAAGATGTTGCAAACCAAAAAATTGAGGTCAAAAAGTTGAAAAACACGGGTTTTTTTTCACTTTTCGCTTGCCGATTTTGGACGGGCGCGTTCACGAACAGGTGTCTTCCGTACTGTTTTTTACAGTGTTTTTTGAAGGCGAGCGTCACGACCTATCAAAAACAGGAGGTTTTGGCCGAATAATGGGCCCCCCCCCCCAAGGTAAACCTGTAACCTTTTACGAGTGCCATCCGGACGATCACGCCCCAGCACCTTCGGTGCGGGCGGATTTTGGGGGGACCCTCTAAGCAAATCCAAGTATAGCAACCCCCAAAAAAGATAGACAAAATTTGAAATATGAGGTACATATTGTACATACATATATATATATACATACATATATATATATGGTACAGCGGAACCGTTATATAAGAACCGATTAAGAATTTTTCCAGCCTACCCTGGGGTTCTTAAGTGCTATAGGTGGAAAATATGGAATTATGAACGCGGGTACCCTTAAGTTCTTAACAGGTTAGTTCTTAAGGGGTTCGTGTGGTGAGGGTTTTGCCAATTCATTTTGGCGTGGTATTAGGTTGCAAAGGAGGCGGGAGGAAGAAAAAAAAATTAGGCCCCGAAAAGTTTTTTCAGGTGCAGCCATTCCAAACAGAGCTATAGGCCAGATATTCCACCATGCCAGGGCTTGAAAGCTTGCTTTGGCGTGGTATTAGGTTGCAAAAGTTGTTTTTGATTTAGGGGCCCGAAGCAAGGCAGCACAGGCAAGACAAGCCAAGACAAACCAAACACAAGCCAAGGGCAGCATGTGAAGTCAGATGGCCTCTAGTGAGTCCGGCTGGTGCCGGGTTTAGGCTGTTGCGTTCAGACTTGCTAGAAGTATTAGGGTTCGGGTCCCCGTGGCGCTGGCGATTTGCTTGCTTCTTGCGTGCTTGCTTCTTGCGTGCTTGCTTCTTGCTTTCATATATCACTTGTCAACGTTTGGTATAAGGGTTGAACCAGCAATCCAGCCCCTGAAGTTCTCATTGCCGTAGGTTGTTAAACAGTGGTTTCGCTGTACCCCCCCGGTT